CGCGAGAGCAGGAGCAGCAGGCTGATTCAGATGCTATGGACACTACATCTGGCGATGTGCTGCGGACGGAGTGGGTGCTCGTTGGGGTTCAGAATGGCGCTCATGGGATTTATGAGGTTAATCATGTGGCTTGGGCGAAGAGGGCGGATCGGGGGTCTGGGGGTGAGGAGGTGCTTATTTCGACGGCCGATGATGGGAGTGTCAAGGTGTGGACTGTGGCACGGTGATTTTACTTGGAATTGACCTGTATTAGGTCTGAATAGCTTATAGACAAAATGCTTGATGTATTTAGAGAACAAATGAATATATAATATGTCACCTGGGCATCGTGTATTAAAAGACAGAGCTATAGAGATGACACCAATACATATAACCCCGTAGGCAAAAGCTTGAAGACAGTATCCTTAGACTCCATCAAGCCAGATATTGATAATACAGAGTGTGGAGCTGAAGACAGATTCCAACAGTAACACGAGGCGATGGAAGACAAGATGATTGAAGCGAACAATTTGGCAATACACTGCCAGCTTTCTCGCGCTGATTGAAACCACACCGCGGACTATTCGCCCTGCATATCCAGCTGGTAAAAGCAGTAACGCAAGCCATCACTCTCAGCCCCCAGACTGTATAATCCGACTGGCCACTGCGTTTTCTACTCGCTTGCACCATGGCCATGTGGGCCAGGAGTTGACCGTTTTTATTCCGATGTTATCTCGATCCGACTTGCCTAGTACTGAGCTGAGCTTCTCGCTTGACTACAACTCGATAACATGCCGTATAAGTTTTCCTCCAATGGAAAGACTATAATCAGACTTGCCGATATGATGTAATTATGGGGGTTTTCCGCCATATATCATGGGGCTCCGCTCTAGGGTATCAAAATCAAGTCTGACACGAGTAGGAATATAGAAAGCCTTGACTGTCAAGAGCCTGATAGACAGCCATTATTAGGGTATCGATACGGCAGTGGGATTGGGCTGTAGGCCGATCATACTCCTCAAGACGGAGTACTATAATATAGTTAGGATGGTTTCAGATAGGAGATTGATGATCGCATTTGGAAATTCCCACAGTCGATAGCCGTTGGCTAGTCTAATTTCAAAAGATATATTGGCGCGATAGACTGCCATGTCGTAGGTTCTTAGACGAGGGTTGATCTAGAATCTCGGCCATTCTGTGCAACTTGAGGCCCTTGGGTATAGTGTTGTCTGGCATGTTTGAAAATGAAGAGAGAGAGAGAGAGAGAGAGAGAGAGATGCAGAGTTGTCAAAAATGAGTTGACGTTGGAACTTCGTCAGCAATCCGTCATCAACCCAAGTCAAGTTATAGCAAATATCAAACCGAATATCATATTTGGAAGACTAAACCCCCGGAACACCATGTCTACTTTATACAGAGGCTAAAAAATCATTTCAACACACACTCAAGACTGGCGGTTTTCGCCAATTCTGGGATGCGAGACATCATCCTCACTATCTTCGCCAACAGCGTAATCCTCCTGCTCAATGCCAGGGGAATGAAGCTGGTCAAGCTCAGACTCATCAAAGTCACCAGCCTCAACATCACGACCAGAACGCTTGCTCTGGAATCTGTTGAGAATGGATGCACTGTTCAATGCATCGTTATTCGAGACACCCTTGTAACCATCTCGAGCACGACGACTGCGCCAGATGAAAAAGCCCCAAGCGCTCACTCCGATAATCACAACAATGAGGGCAGCCTCACCGGACTTGGTATACGCGTGTATCTTGGTCTGTTTCAACCTCTCCTTCTCATTCTCCTGTGCGACAGTACTATTAGCCTGTCCACCGACAGCAGTCTGGGGCAACTTCTCGCCGTCGATACGTGAATCGGAAGGCTGGCCACCGATACTGGCGATATCGACTTTCATGAAGCGGTCAAGCATGTCACGGCTCTGACGGGGGTTGTCGAAAGGAACCATGTGGCTGGAGTTATAGAAGAGCACGTAGGTGAGATTACGGGCAGATTGGTAGATGCCAGCGGGCTCGTCTTCGAAGGACCAGTCGTGGCGCGGGGCCCAGACGCCGGGGGAGGTTTCGAAGCCGGTGCCACCCTTCCACTTCATGTTGTGGATCAGAGTCTCCGTTCCAATGTGGTTGCAGAGAAGGTCTTTGTCGCCGCTGAAGAGCAAGACGTTGATGCCCGATTCGATCAGGCCTGGGAGCAACTGGACGGAAGGGACGGAATTCTTAGCGGTGAAGGCCGTGTGGACCATACCAGCGCATTCGGTCCAGCCAGATTTCTTTGCTGGGTTGATGTTCAGGGCTTTGACGACATCTGGTCGTTGGAGATACGGCTCAACATTTTTCAGGTCGGGGGGCCAGTTCATGCCACAGGAGCCGGCCTCGTCCTTGAGACGGACATCGTACATGTTGTAACACTGGTGATCTTCGGTGGTGAGATCGAGGAAGTGTCGCAAGACCAGCTCGCACGAGTCCATATTCAGTTTGTCCTTTGCGGCGGGGGTCTCCAGCTCCGAGAGACAGACTTCGTTGAGTACGTTTATCTTGTGGTGGAGGGATGTGTCCGGTTTGATGAGGCCGTCTCTCTCGACGTACTTGAAGTAGGCAGGGTACTGGTCTGTAGGGGAGATCCAACCGTTACCGATCAGCAAACCCTTGATAGGCCACTCTGTGCCTCCGTTCTCTGCAACACCCTTGTTGCGATCTTGAATGGCCTTTGCAATATATGGGATGTGCTGGCCGGCAAACGATTCACCAGCAATGTATAGCTGCAACACAGTTAGAGATATCATGTAGTAGAGGAGAAGGGAAACGTACGTCATCATTCGCATACTCGGGGAATATCTCAAAGAACTTATCCAGGAAGACGATGAAGTGAGCGGCCATCTCGTCCAACTCATGGACATAGCTATTGGTGTTGACATAGCTGAACCCGGTCCCGACGGGGTTATCGACGAAGAGCAGGTTGGCAAACTCATCCCACCTGCCCTCGTTGTACTCCAACGTATGGTCGTCCTGGAGCCGGTAGGGCCCAACTTCCATCAATGCGCCATCCATGGAGCTACATCCTGGGCCACCGTTCAGCCAAATGACAGTGCGTTGTCGGTTCGCGATGTGACGGTTCTGGAAATGCCAGAAGAACAGGTTGCCGTTGGTGTTGGGATCGACCTCGATATGTCTAGAGTTGTTACATTAGCAAAGGCCCAGAAGTTCACAGAAATACCACTTGAGACTCACCCAGCATGCATCTTCAAGAGAGGGCCTTCCGGCGCCCCCGGTAACGAGTGCACATAATAATCAGCAGCCGAACTGGCCGACACCAAGGCCGGGCTAAACAGCGATACTACGGATAATAATATCACGGCACCGCCCTTCACGGAAGGGAGGAATGGTATTGAGAACATGTTAGCCAGTGTGGTTATCCAAAGATTATCGACTGTCCCGGGAGGGACTCGTAGGCGCGGGTTTAACAGATCATTTGAATTCAACGGCACGGATAAAGTGGGAGGGAGAAACAGTTTAAATTCACAAAGTCCAAAGGGAACTTCCAGGTGTCAAGATCAAAGAAAGACGCTGGAAGTTCGAGGCGTGGCCTGTGGAATGAAACGGGTACAGGTCAGTACAGGTAATTACCAGTGGGGGTGCATCAAAAGGCCCTGTCACTTCCTTGCAGAATGGTCTTTTTGGTAATTTGTTGTATATCTCTATTCTGCACAGATATATTTAGCTTATAGATTACACTCTCTCCCTAGTCCTGGTTTTAACTCCAACCAATGGCTGATTATTTTAATGGCCCCCGATCTTCTCTGAGAAATCAATTTAATGGCCCCCGATCGTCTCTTAGAAATCAAGAGACTTGTCCGCATCATTCTTGATCAGATCCACCATCCCCTAAACCGTTAGCTGATTTCTCTCTAAAGTCCAATAGTCTTACATCGGGCATAATAGGCTGCTCATTGGCACCCTTAACATAGCGGAAAGGCATCTCGGTGCGTTCATGCTCATTGATGATCAATTCCGGGTAGTCGACATATTGAATGTCATCAAGGGGGACTAGCAAAAATTAGCGTACACATATATATCAAGACCTTTTACACTCACCCTTCTCGTGAACAACCAAGCGAGTAACTCGCACGGCAGTATCGGTAGTCATCTGCTTGGGCCCCAATCGGCGGCCGACATATCCCTTCTTCCTCAATTCCGAGGTGCGATCTACAAAGTCAGTAGCCGAAGTGCATGAAGAAACCCAGTACATACCTCTAGGCGGGTCGTCGCCTGCAGAATGACAAGAAACAGGTCAGTCCTTTACTCATATCGTGGGGGTAAAAAAAAATTTCCATACCGAGGATACCACCAAACAAAAAGACATCAAAGGTATCACCATCCTCGGGACTCAACTCAACCTGAGCGGAAGGGTCCAACAAACAGACCTTGGCCTTGCGATCGGCAAAGATCTCCTCGACACTACGCTTCTCAACCTCGAGACCCTTGGTGGCGGCCAATTCTGCGGGCATTTGCAGCTCGGCGGGCACAGAGCTGAGCATGAATCTTGCCCCGCGGTCGTAGGATTCACGCGCAATGCAGGCATATTCGAGCGTGGACCATGGGCCCAACTCGGGATCCAGATGTTCAACTACAAAGATTGGTTGGGTCATGGTGTGTATGAGAGAAGAGACGTCACGGGAAAGAAACGAAGTTCAAAAGGTTCGGTTCCACTGTGGGCAGGTGACGATGGATTTATTTTAACCAATTATACTATTTTATATAAGGCTTGGGATAGGAAGAAATGGGTTATAACGTGATACGTTCAAGAGGGTAAATTAGAGTAGAGTAAACTAGCCTAATATCAAACTAGATATTGGAGAATCCCACGTCATCTTAGACATTTTCCCTTTACTATTCTAATTATTTATTATTCATTCTCTCTCTGTATTCCGTGGTCACACCTCAACTTCTCCCCGCCTTATCTCTCCCGCTTCAATTCCCCTCCAACTTCCCTTCTTCAACCTATCCATCATGAATCCCCACCAACAGAACAAAGTGGACATCAATGTAAGTACTCCCACTATACGATTCCTATCATAACTAATAAACTCTAGTCGCTGAGCCCAGAGGAGCAGCGCCTGCTGCGCCTCTACGGCAAGATGCCAACCAAGAAAGACGTCCTCCAAAACAAGCTCAAGGCAAGTCACACACCAACTCAACCCACAAGACCCATTCTAACATTTAATTTTCTCCAGGAACGCAAATACTTTGACTCGGGCGACTATGCCCTCAGCAAAGCCGGCAAAGCCTCCGACGTAGGCGTCACCAACATTGGATCCCGCCACCCAGTGCCGGAGAACATCCCGCACCTCACCTCAACCTCCCCAGGTGCCAACAACTCTGCCAACAATGGCAGTGTCAGTTCCCAAGGTGGACAACAGATTCCAGGCAGTATCAGCGGACACCCTGGCTCGATCGGATTCCAAATCCGCAGCCCAATCAAGGATGGAGGTAGCTTCCTACACCGTGGCACCAGTGTTGGTGAAGGTGAGGGCTCTGGTCTGGCCTCTGAATCAGCCCAGGGTGAGCAGGAGCTTAGTGTTAGCCCCCCTACTGCACGAGAAGGTGTTCCTATTCGTCGGTAGATGATACACCTTGCACTACACGGGGTGACTGTGTTCTGACGAGGGCGATCGTTTGCATGCATATCTTTTGAAGGGGGTCTGTGATTTCATTTTCAAAAGCCTGGCGCTATGGGAATTTCTTTTCAATTTCTTTTATTTCATTTTGTGGGGGGGGGGGGAATGGGCGGGCGGGGGGGGGGGGGGGAGGTGCACTGCAGGACAGAGCGAGAGTGGAAGCAGAGGTTTAGTGCTTGGCCTGTCGTGTCATTGATATGGATGATTTGTTTTCCTTATGGAGTGACATTCCCTGTCCATCGAGCACGGCTTCGCTCTTCAGTGTCTTGGCTTTCTTTATTCTCCAATTATCGCCATTTATCATCAACTCATCATCTGCATTCAATTTTTTTTTCCTTCTTTTTCTTGACTTCTACTCTCCTTGTCTATATCTAGTTCATACGACAAGACCCTTGTGATAATTTACTTGCGTTTCCATTCTCTAGTTTATCTACACTACGTCTACCTGTATTCCTATTCGGCTGTGCTCTATACGCATGAAGCCAAACTATGATTCCGATAAGTTTGCTGTTTTACTTATTTATCCCGTGTGCCATCCAGTTTGTTCAATTGTTATGGAAAAGTCATTATAAACATTTTACACGGTACGTCCCACTAGCTCGATCAAAATCGCCCAGTCATTACTACAATAGTTCGGATCTTATATTTTATCTCTCTAGATCGAGCTAAATCATCTTGCTAAGAAGGTTATATTAGCGGCCTATTCTACATTTGATTACTCGTTTTATTATTCTTGCTATAGCGCCAAGAAGGCAAAAAGACAAGGTATCAGGATCGGATAATGTCCCTTATATCATCTTAAGCCAAGCCATAAAGATAAATGACCTGAAACTGAAAGTCGACAAAGCAAAGCTAGAAGAAATGGGGACATAGTGCCTGGCTTTGACAAAAAAAAAATTAGATGAATCAATGGTTCTCTATTAGACTACAACCGCCAAGCTCTATGCCATTCGAATCATATCAAGAAAGAAACGAATATCGAATATCTATTAAACCCCAGCGCCTGGCAAGAAATACAAGAGAAGAAAGAGCCAGGTATCCTATGTACAAGGAGCGGCTTCAAGCCATGAAACTGTGTGTGTGGGGGGTGGAGTAAGATTCGGCTGAGGGAAGGGGAAGCTAGGAAGCTGCGAATAGGAAGGTTGAGCAAGACAGCAGGGGGTATAAGTGCCGAACTGGATGAAAGTGGTAATTCAGGGTGGATATGGAAGACAGAGGAAAAAAAGAGAAAAGCAACAGAGTTATCTGGTATCGTCGAGTCGTGAGAAAGGGGTGTGGCATATTGAACAGAGTGCTGTTTGCCTCGAGACACGAGACAACCAAATACACTCATGTAGCAATCGAGAAGGGTATGCTTGGCGAGGAAGCAAGGAAGAGCAGTGGGGGTGATGTGATACGAAGTCCAATCAAAAGCGAGACAGGTGATACATGGCCTCAGGGCGATCGAAACTCTTCTGAAGGACTCGCTCTACAGTGGCTGTAGTAAAGGTGCAAGGCCATTGGCAAAATTCCCAAACGAATCGCCGCTGAGTGACCTTTTCGTTGTTCGGGTTGCTGCAAGATAGGTCACAAGGATTGTGGCCGACTGGGCTCATGTAGCAATATACAGCGAAGGAGGCACCAAGGCCGATTCGATTGGCCTTCGGATTCTTGCCGCGCTGTTGTTGGAGCAATGATAAGAAGGAAAGCGTAGGCATGTTTGGCTTGTCATTCAGTCGGTTTTCCAGTGGCCGGCCACTCCGTTGTCGAGATCGTTGGTTTCCCCGAGCCATAGCTCGACCGCGTATAGGGAAATCGTGCAAGCAAGATTAATCCAACGCCATGGGTTACCACCGCCATTGCCTTGGCTGCTCCACCATTCGCCGCTACCACCCATTGCTTGTGATGTTGATGCGAAGTGCTGCATAAGGAGACTGGTGTAGACAGCGATGAGAATGCTCGGCGCGAAGTAGCTCAGGAAGCCCAGCACTTGGCCTGCTGCGTCGGTATCATCAATGGAAGCCTCTTGAGAAAGCGCACGGGCGCCAGACTCGCGGACAGCTGGGATGATGCGCGTCGATGCATATAGCACGAGCAGGCGATACGCGAGCGAGATGAGAACGGAGGGCGTAACGGCGCTGAAAACGGCGGTAATGACGTTGAATCCCGCGTGGATAATCGACGGCAAAGTAGACAGTGCGTGCATCACGGTTGTGTACGACGCCATGATGATAGGAGGCAGTGGAGGGAAGTCTCCGACCTGCGAGGGCGAGGGTATTTGTTCCACGGGGTGCGATGGCTGGTAGTCCGTGAAGATCTGGTAGATGCAGAGCACAACGTAGGCAAAGAGGAGAGAGCTTTCGACTGGGTTACCGCGACCACTTCCAATACCCCAGGCACACAGAATGACGGCGCATGTGACAGAGACTCCGATCAAGGCGGCATCGACGTTGGAGATTTCGGGGAATTGCAGAACACGCCAGAGGAAGTAAACTGAGCTGGAGATAACCGTAGCGGACAAGACCAAGAGGCCGATCTAAGACAAGGGTTAGTTTTTTTTATCGCTGCATCCATGGGAGGTCCCCAAAAAAAAACATACCATCCAGCTATCGCTGCGTCCACCTCGGTTGACGAGCCAGCGGGTAATTTGCCCAGCTGCCTGGATCACCAATAAACTGCAAAATCCCTCTGCCAGCTGGAAGACCGGGGTAGACCATCTCAGAAGTCTATCCCAGTTGCCGAGGGTCACAGTTTCCACCAGGCCGTCGCGACCAAAGAGCCATTCCTGAATAGAGGAATCCTGCGCCCTCTTACCGCTGAAAGTGCGCTCCACCCATCCTGCACTGTCGGAATCAACCGAGAATCGATTCAGCGACCAAATCAGAAGGACCAAGATGACGGCCCATTGTATGAAGCGGAGAACGGTAATGATGGAGGAACGGAACCACGATCGCTCAGGAGTGGTGACCTTCAATAGCGAGACCAAGAAGTAAAAGGCCGCCAATGACAGGGAAAAGGCCAGGCCACATGTCTTGCCACCCACATCGAAGGCTAGTGGGATTGACGAGACGGTGATGGCGAGGAACAAGGCCGACGAAAAGACTCGAAAGAGCCACATCGGACCGCCGAAGGGGTATGCAGTGCGGAGGGGATCGAGAGATTCGGGGGTTGACTTGATAGCAACTATGTGTTCAGAGCTGGATGGGGAGAGAGAAGTTAAGGAGGGGGAGAGACACACTGTTTTCTTTTTTTTCCTCGAGCTTATCGCTTTTGAACCTTCACGTGGGTCAAGAGAAATGTTAGAACTAGAAATGCTAGAAATTCCTGAAAAACAAAATAACCAGAGATCTAAAATACTCAGAATAAGGTAAACAAGAAAGAGAAATCCAAAAAAAGAAGTGGAAGTCTCTTTAAGTGTTACTAGACTGGCGGTCGGAGCACCACTTTTTTTTGACCTAGGCTGTTTATAAGGGCCTAGAAACACTAGAAACACTAGAAACCAAGGCTAACAGTTTCTGGTTAACTATCTTTTATGTCAACTACTTAGTACTGGAGTATACCTCTTATACCTTATATATATCTACTATGTTGACATGGTTAACTCTAATACAGAATAGACAGCTCTTCGACGGTAAATAGAAATATATAGAACATGTTATAACTATATATACCTAACTAGTCAATGTTTGGCTTTTTTAGCCGACAGCTACATATTTCAGCTACCGAGCTAGAAACAAAGATAATGACCCCTAGTACCCCTTTCTAGTCATGCTTGAGCCACTTTTTATATATTCTACCTATTTGACCTCCGTTACTTTACCTGGCAAGCATGGGAATGCAAGGATAGCCCAACTAAGAACATGTCACAGAAAACCTACGTAGATTGGAGTCGTAAGATGTGGTCTGCTAGAAGACATGGCCCCAAGATCCCCTTCCATACTAAGGGACTCATTATAGTCACCTCCTAGGTATGAAAAGCTCGTTGATAGTTCTGTCGTTGGGATGATAGCTAGAAAAACAACTATTATGCATAGAGTTGTTATACTATAATACGCTAATCTACATAACGTTGATGCTGTTCATCATTTAGGCCTCCCAGTGGGAATTGTAACTCGTGACATATGTTAATCAAATTCACTGTCTCTCCAAGCACATCTTTATAGATCTAATAAATTTTATAGATCTCATTTCCAATAGAGCTCCTAGTCACATGCTAGCTTCCAGCCCTATTATCAAGCCCTGATAACCCGATATAGAAACGCTGATAAGAATCTCAACCAGCCAGAGCGCAGCAATTAATACATGAAGACCTTTAGACCATTCTCTTTCATTTTGCATGTTCAGATTCAAGAACTACTTCAAAATGGCTGAAAACGTTGCAAAGAAGCTCAAGACCTCGTCCCCCCTGATCGGGACACACAAGTGAGTGTAATGTCCTGAAATTTGCTACTCTAGCTTAATCTGCTCTTATACTGACTAAAAACAGCGGACACTTCCACGCCGACGAGGCCCTGGCCGTCTACCTCCTCCGCCTGCTCCCCACATACGCCTCCTCCCCTCTCATCCGCACACGCGACCCAGCCGAGTTGGAGAAATGCCACACCGTCGTTGACGTGGGCGGCGTGTACGACCCCGCCATCCACCGTTATGATCACCACCAGCGGACCTTCTCAACGACCTTCCCGCAGCACGCCACCAAGCTCTCCTCTGCTGGCCTGGTGTACATGCACTTCGGCAAGGCGATCATCGCCCAGAAGCTGTCCCTGCCTGTGGACCACGCTGACGTAGACCTGCTGTACGAGAAGCTGTACACGGACTTCATTGAAGCGATTGATGCCAACGACAACGGCATCTCCGCCTACGACCAGGCTGCGCTTGCCGCCGCTGGAGTCGAGAAGCGCTTCAAGAACGGCGGCATCACGCTGGCCTCGATGGTCGGTGACATGAACAACCCAGATCCCACCAGCCCGCCCGGCGAGCCCCAAGACGAGGACAGCCTCTTCGGACGTGCCAGCACGCTCATTGGCAACGCTTTCGCGCGCAAGATGCACCACGCCTGCACGTCCTGGATGCCTGCCCGCACTACCGTCGGCTCCGCTTACGCCGCGCGCAAGGACACCCACCCCTCCGGTCGCATCATTGTCCTCCCTCAAGGCGGCGTGCCCTGGAAGGAGCACCTCTACAACTTCGAGGCTGAGGCTTCGGGATCCAAGGAGGTTGACCCCGCCGATCAGGTCTACTATGTTCTGTACCCCGAGAACGCTACCGAGGGAGCCAAGTGGCGTGTGCAGTGTGTTTCCGTCTCCGAAAGCAGCTTTGAGTCTCGTAAGCCTTTGCCTGAGGCGTGGCGTGGTGTCCGCGACCAAGACCTTGATGGTGTTATGGCTGCGGAGGCTGAGAAGAATGGCCAGAGCAAGATCCCCGAAGGTGCGGTCTTTGTTCACGCTAGTGGCTTCATTGGTGGCCACAAGACAAAAGAGGGTGCTATGGCCATGGCTGAGCGCAGCCTTGAGCTGTAGGATTTGTTTTGATTATAACTGAAGATTGAAAGAAAAAGTTGAATTTTTGATGAATTTGTTCTATATTATGACTTCTAAAGGATATGATTTATATTAACGTGACCTTTTTTTTCCCCCTCTGCAAGCTCTGGGTCTTCAGACATGATTGTAAATAATGCATTTGGTCTTGCATGAAACCACTGGACACCACAGGCGTCCATCAGTAGAATGCCCGGGAAGATTCTTCGGGGCTTTTCTACTTTGCTGTCCAAGATATAGTACACAAGTCTTGAATATCTGGCGCGTCAAATTCGGACTGCCAATTGAGCCCAATTCTTGTTTCTCAATGGCTAACGAGCGACAGGCTTTGGTATTCGGAGGGTGTAAACCCAAGACTGGGAGAATGAGCCTCGAGTGACCTTTCTCAGGCTTTCTGGAATGGCGCTCCGAAAACCGGAGCACTTTTCCACGTGCTGACCGAAGCGAGTACTTTGTTCTTGACGAAGGATGGCCTTTTTGCGCTCTAATCTGAGGGTATCGGTAGGGTCCGGGAGTCGAGCGTCTGGTATGCCTACCGATTTTGCGAAGCATGACCAAGCCCTCAGTGACGGATATTCAATGCGCTGATATCTTCGATGCTTCCGCTGCCATCCCCCGAAGTCGACATATCCTTGGGTTCAACCTGAGTGGCCGAATCCTCACGCTCGCCCATTGCGCGTTGGATGAGCTTCGCCTTTGTAGCGGCGCCTTTGAGACGCTCGTCCACATCATTCACAGCTTCCTCCGTATTACTCATGTCCAGCGTAGCCGGATCGACGAGCTCAAGAAGCGTCTGGAGATTCCTGGCTAGTCGAGTGCTGTGTGGTGGGAGACTGGGCATGTCTTTGCAGATAGATGGATCAAGAGAAAGAGTATCCGTTGTGCTATCCGCCTGCGATACGGTGTCTTCGGACGATTTCATGTCAAGTCTCTGCGCCCAGACTAATGCCTTGCCATACAAGCGTCCCATCTCGACAAACTTCTCGAAGCCTTTCTCAACGGCGAAAACGCTGCCTTCGGTATATCCGGTAGCTGCTCCATCTGCGGTGCCCAGCTCATATCCCTCATTGTAGAATTGCTCCTCTAGATCAAGGAGACTGTCCAAAATATTGTGCTCCATGGTGGATATAAAGAAGATCGATATGAGTCAAATCCGAAAGAGTCCAATCGATAACGTTTTT